GACATTTATTTGGTTTAGAAAAGACGGGGAAAAAAAAGAATGAGAAATCAGCCAATTCCACAAAATTTATTACGGTGAGAAACAATTGGTATTAAAAGCAAAGTTCAGGAAAAGCATTCCGTTGTGAATTTTTGGTAAACTCATACAATGAATCCAGGCTCTGCAAGCTGAGTTAACATGCACTGCATTGATGCATTCACACAATTTCACAATAACCATGAGATAAATCATAAAACAAAGTTCAGGAATATTCCTTTATTCCACTGTTTTGCAAATCTATGTACACTGCAAATTGCATGATTGTTTGAAGAGAAATGCATCTATACTACCAGTCTGAGGAGGAAGGGCAAGCGATAAAAATGAAAGTGAAACCTTCTAAGCAGCTTATAAATATAATATTAAAGAGCACCTGTCATTTCAGATCGTTCATGGCAGTGCCTGTTAGCGGGCATCCACTCAACTGGTGCCCGCCACGTCCCTCACCTTATTGTGTGACTGCTGCATCACCAGCCATCCCATTAAAGTGAATGGGACTGTCGGTGAGTCAACAGAGGAGCCACTGTGGGACAGAGATGACAGCTGCTCTTTAAACATTATGATTTAAATCGAGTTAATTTAAATCAAGCCTTTTTACTAGTGATTTAAATCAAATCCTCCCTGCAGTAAAGCATGATGGATATGAATAGAATAGAATAGAATAGAATAGAATAGAATAGAATAGAATAGAATAGAATAGAATAGAATAGAATAGAATAGAATAGAATAACAGAGCTGGGAGGGACCTTGGAGGTCTTCTAGTCCAACCCCCTGCTCAGGCAGGAAGCCCTACACCACTTCAGACAAATAGTTATCCAACAATATTATGTCAGAACACATGTATAACAGGAGACTGAATTCATTTACTAAGATAACGATGGCCAAACTTCTCAAAGAACACTCTGTGCAAGCAGATGCTGGCTTTAGCCAAACATTTCATAGTATGGATTTCCCCCAAACTGTGAATTATATCTCAGTTTAAAAGTTCAAAAGGAAGTTATTAAAATGTTTCCTCTAACTTATTGCCTGACCGCATCACTAGAGATCTAATTGGGGCCACCACAATGAATCACTGGCAATTAAAAGTATGGCTCAGTGACTTTGAGACAGACCATACAGCCTGGACAAATTTTCAGCAGCGGCCTGATCAATTCATAGTAACAGTAACAACATTGGAAGGGATCTTGGAGGTCATCTAGTCCAACCTCCTCCTCACGCAGGAGACCTGTACCAGGGATTCGAACTGCTGACCTTTCTGATCGACAAGCTCAGTGTCTTAGCCACTGAGCCATCTAGTCAGGTTAGTTATGATGTTGTGCCGGACTGTTCCAGGTGTGCATTGGCTCATGGGATTTAAATACCCCTTGTGTAGAATGGACCAGACATGCTGGTGTTGCAACGGCTGTAAACTTGTGTTCAGAACAATCTTATAAAACATATGTTTGCATAAACAGAGGTATGCATGTACAGGCAGTCCTTGACTTACAATAGTTCATTGAGTGATCATTCAAAATTACAGCTGCACTGAAAAAAAAGTGGCTGATGACCATTTTTCACATTTAAGACTGTTGCAGCATCCCCATGGTCATGCGATTAAAATGTGGAGTTAGCTTGACAACTGACTCATCTTTATGATGGTTTGTTGTGACCCCGACTCCCGAGCCTGTCCTAACAGAGGAAGAGGACTCAGAAGGTGATGGGAAGGAATTGATAAGGCCTCCCTCTCCAGGACCCTCCTCTCTGGCAATGCCTCAGGTTCCATCTGAAGGCCAAGAGGAACAGCTTGGGATATGCCAGGAGGAAAGCATATCGGAACAACAGATAGGGAGCGAGGATTATGAATCCTGGCTTGATCCCAGGTAGCGTCAGAGGGAGAAGCGTGCGCAGCAACGAAAGAGGCGTGGGAGGGCCAGAGATTGAGCTGAGTCACTGAGCCACACCCCACAAGGAATAAAAGTGGATGTGATTGCTCTTCAGGCTTTGTGACGGTCAAAGTTAAAAACCTGAGTGTCACATTGCGTTACCTGAAATCTGGCTTGTGCATATTTGGATTGGACCTTGGCTAACTCTTGCTTTGTGGATTACTTTTTGCTACTGAACCGGACTGAGGAGAAACTCTCTCTTGCTGACTGTGAGTGAAAACTGACTTGGCAGGCATTTCGCAGTTTACTGCCAAAACTCTTATCTGCAAGGGTTTCTAGTCTGATTGCTTAATAAAATCTTGGCAGGCGTGCCTGGTTGTGTGTTTGCCTGCGTGGGGAAGGGGGACAGAACACGGTTGCAGTGTCCCGAGGTCATATGATCACCTTTTGCGATCTTCTGGCAAGCAAAGTCAAGGGGGAAGTCGGATTCACTTAACAGCCGTCTTGCTAACTTAACAACTGCAATGGTTCACTTAACAAACAGGGCAAGAAAGGTCGTAAAATGGGCAACATTCATTGAACAAATGTCTCGCTTAGCAACAGAAATGTTGGGCTTAATTGTGGTGGTAAATTAAGGACTACCAGCATTAAGTCACATCAAACCGCTTCAGGAAGCAGGACCTCTGCCGTGATTCCTCTACGAGTTTACTTTTAAACGTATTGGCATAAACTTCCGATTTTGCAACTTGTCAACCTACGTGGGCTCTATCTTGTGCCTCTTCTTTTCCACATGCTCAAGACACGCAAGACAGTTCGCAATAAAAACTTAAAATAGACTAGGATTACCCTAGAACAAACATCTCTTCTCACGCCCAAGCACACTGCCAGTAAAATAAAGCAAATGAAAATATTTACAATAGTTGTAACATTGCCTTTGCAGTCTTTTTTTGCTTCTCAACAGGAATATGCAATTTCCATCAGTTTGAAGGGTGCAACAGATGTTGCACAACGTTGTTACACATTTCAAAAGTGGGGAGGGAAGGTTCCCATTTTGGGGAGGCCAGGAAAGCCATTTTAAGGAGCAAATTGGGTGCCTGGATGCTACCCAGAAGCTATAGCCTTCTAGCTTTTCCCTTACTAAAACAAAAATAATAAAAAAATTGAAATTACAAAATGAAGTTACAAAATGAAGGCTGTCAACCATGAGGCTTTGTAATGCTTTGTCTTCAGAAGCAAAACGATGGTTGCTTCTATTACAAGAGAAATTTGTAGCAGAAATGCTACAGCATTGGATGCAGGAGTCTGAGACACTGCTGCCTTTAGTTCAATTTGTGTTTAGTTTTAAAATTCTGATTTTAAAAGGTGGTAAGTGGCATATCATTTTTTTTTAAGAATAGGAACACTAAATGCTTAAATCACATGTCAAGAGTCATAACCAGTCCCCCTCCCCAGCTCACATTAATACACTAGGTTACAATTTATTTTATGATGTATATACTATTATAATATAATGAATATTTAAAATTAAATAAGTAGAAAATTATATATAGACACACACACACATACACACAGATATATATACCGTGGTTCCCTGAAAATAAGACCCTGTCTTATATTTTTTTTGAACCCCGAAATAAGCACTTGGCCTTTTTTTTCGGTGGAGGTCTTATTATTTTGGGGCGCGTGGAGCAAGACGGGGCTCCTCTTGCCATTTTACCTGATTTCGACCTCTGTCTCCCTAACCCTAACCCAGTGGTGGGTTCCTCCCGGTTCGGTCCGGTTTGGCCGAGCCGGTAGTGGTGACGATATGATGTCACCGAACCAGTTCTCCCCCCCTGCCCTCCCACTCCCCAACCCACCCACGTTATTCTTACCTTTTATTTGGTCCCACCCCCAATCTATTGCTGCCTCCTGAGTCCCAGCTGATGACTAGAGGGAAAAAAACTGTTTAAACTCTTGCCGCGGGGCTTCAAAGGGCCGTCCTACAGCTGATCAGTGTTAAAAGCAAACAAATGAGTCAGGTCGTAAGTGCGAGGACTGGTTGTAAGTGCGAGGACCTTCCAGAAATGACTCTGACCAGCTAGCCACGCCCACCTAGTCACATGACCTCCAAGCCACACCCACAAAATAAGCCACGCCCACAGAACCGGTAGTAAAAAAATTTAGAACCCACTCCTGCCCTAACCCGAGGAAATGGTGGGGACTGGCTGCGCATGCGCTTAAATATTTTCGGGGAGGGCTTATTTTCATGCATGCGCTCAAAAGCCCGATTGGGCTTATTATCAGGGGAGGTCTTATTTTCGGGGAAACAGGATATATATATGAATTGACCACTGTTCTGTAAATCCATTTGCATATTGGAGGAGGGAGAGTGTGTAAATCATGATTAAATAAATATATTGTGTATATATATGTATATGTATATGTATGTATATATATATATATATATATATATATATATATATATATATATATATATATATATACACACACACACATACATACATACATACATACATACATATATAAAATAAATATAATTATTATAAATATTACATAGCCTATAAAACAACCAGTGTGGGGAAAATACAGAACAAGAATCATTGAAGATCTTAGCATTCTTGGTCCTTCCCACCACTTTCATCCTCTCATGCTTTACATCAATGCTCTGTTCCATAGACAGTATAATATTATGCTTCATGGGAAAATATGCATTGAAAGAGCTATCCAAAGAAAGTCCTATGAAAAAGTTAGGAGACTTGCAAATGTGCATTTTCAAATAAATAGATTTGAACTTGTTATTTTGTCTGTCCAGGTGAACCCTCTTTCAAGTTCTTGGAATTCCAATAAGGCCATTGCTGAAAAGTCTAGAGTTCAAGTCCATACATTTGAAAGTTGCCGAGGTGATCCAATATGTACATTAAGCAATATATTGCAATACAAGAGAGCAGAACTTGTGGTTTTCCAGATGTGGTTGGATTACAATTCCCATCATTCATAAAAGATTTGGAGGCCATATATTCCCCAATTGAGACAGAGAACTTGTTGGGAAGTCACAACAGATAGCAGGTAAAGAGCAAAGAAACATCAAATCACACCAACCTTTTTCTTGGCTGTAGACAAACCGGTTCAGAATAAACAAATGTGCTACCATCAGTAGGTAGCAAAGAATTTGGTTAATCCACATTCTTTTGCAATTCGTTATGGAAAACAGGTCACTTCAAGCGGTCTTTGTCTTTGATGCAGGCAAGTTCTAATAATAAAAAGAAATATTTTAATATCATTATTGCTTATCTTCTCAATAAAATACATTTACTTGAATTATAGAGACTAGAAAGTGTTAGATGTTATATATTGCATTGCTCGATTTCATTAACCTTAGTTGTAGAATGAAACAACTTTGGCAAAACCTGGTTCTTACTGTCAGCACAAAAGAAATGTATCACTTCAAATGCTCATTTTGTAAAGCAGATGCATGGAAAATTAGTATTAAAATGATACAGTGTGAGAGGATGCCTAATTCAGGCGAAAAATATCAACAGCTAGGAACTTGGCAAAATGGGAAGGAAGGAGGGAAGGAAAGAGCCCTGCATGACAGACAGTCTTTGTTTAATGTCTACTTGTTCAAAGACCCTTCGTAGGGTAGGGTAGGGTAGGGTAGGGTAGGGTAGGGTAGGGTAGGGTAGGGTAGATTAGAATAGAATAGAATAGAATAGAATAGAATAGAATAGAATAGAATAGAATAGAATAGAATAGAATAGAATAGAATAGAATAGAATAGAATTCTTTATTGGCCAAGAGTGATTGGACACACAAGGAATTTGTCTTCGGTGCATAAGCTCTCAGTGTACATAAATGCTATAAGTGATAAATCATGATCATAGTCATCATAAAAATACATTCATCATAAATCATAAGATACAACATTTAGTGATAGTCGTGATACTAAATAAGCAATCAACAAAAATCATATTAGGAAACTCAATAAAACAATATAAATCGTAAAGATACAAGCAACAAAGTTATAGTCGTAAGTAGAAAGGGAGATAGGTAATCGGAAAGATGAGAAGAATAATAGTAATACAGGATGATTTTGACTGGGTAGTAGTTGTGATGGGTCCATGTAGTTGCAGCTCTTATGGTGTCCCCATGGCCACGTGATCACTATTGGAGTGATCAGCGACTAGCTTCTAATTACAACAATGCGGATCGCCATTTGCAATCTGCACTGCTGACTTCCCACATTCAAAGTCAATGGGAAGCTAACAGGAGATTGCAAACAGTGTTTATGTGACAGAGGGAGGCTGCAACCATGTAGAATTCACCCAACAGCAAGAACTATCAGAACTGCGGTTGTAAGTTGGCATTATCATTTGATGTTGTGCCTTGTAATTCCTACTCTCTTTCTCTTTTCATAATAATAAAGGATTTTTTTTTTCACTGAAATGCTGTGAACCACCTTTTTGTAAGTCAAACGCAACATATACACATGCACATATATATGCATGAAACAAACAAAATGTTAAAAAGTTATGATATGTATGTAGTTACTTACCAAGCACATCTAAATTATATTAAAATAATCAAAATATATTTACAATCCCCAAGGCATGTCACAACTTTTGAGCACCCCTAAATGTTTGAAAGTTGAAAAATTTGACTCACTACCGTGTTTCCCTGAAAATAAGACCCTGTCTTATATTTTTTCGAACCCTGAAATAAGTGCTTGGCCTTATTGCCATGTACTCAAAAGCCCGATTGGGCTTATTATCAGGGGATGTCTTATTTTGGGGAAAACAGGGGACAGAGGACTACAAAACAGACACTTATTTATCTGTATTGCAAGAGACTTGCAAGCCAAATATTACAAGCCAAATATGCAAAGAGGTCTAATTAAATTTGACAATTTAATTAGACCTCTTTGCATATTTGGCTTGTATCACTTAGTAATTCCAAGTGAACATCCATTTTGCACATTTCCATTTCTTCTGCTACAGACACCAAGTGGGATAAATGCTAGATATTAGCAGAATCCTAACTCTAATTGCTGTAAATTGTTGGAAAACTGAGCTACCGTTTTGGCAGCATCAAATCCACAATTTTGTCTGTAAAACTGAATTGCATTTTAGTCTTAACTCTCAATCTTCACATACGGCGGTGGCTTGATGTCCCCACGGCATCTCCTCTACCACACCCAAAATATTCCAAGATAGCATCGCAAAAACCTGGCAGCAAATTAACCAACTTTCACAAGGAGTAAATTTTGCTCAAGTTGAGGGTTTGAGAATTTTTAAGGATGGAACGGAAATAGAAAGCTATTTGAAAGCAAAACGCTCCCAACTTTACCCTTAACTACTTTAACCCTAAGAAACATGCAAAAATTAAGCCAGATGATATCCCTAGCAGATTGGCAAGTTGGACTATGGCACTGACCCAAAATATATTAGGTGCTTCTGGCCTTAAATCAAAAGGGACTCCTCTTTCAATTAATGGAAAAGTGTTTGTCTATTTAAGAAGAAAAATTGTTTCCATGGTTGGGATGCAACATCTTGGCACTTGCCTTATTACAAGGCAGCCAAGAACAATGGGTAAATGCCCATCTTTCCACTCATCACAGATTCCCTGACTTCTCAAGTCTAAATTAAATCTTAATTATCTTCCTCTCCTGCAGCTTTTTCAGTTTAGGGAGTGGGAAACCCAGGAAGGCTCCATAACGATGCAGAAATATGCAAGTTAAATCTGTACAGCAGCATCACTGAAACTGCAAAGAAGAGGCAAGCTCAGAATAGCAGGGGGGGGAAAGTAATCTAAAACAATTTGAACATAAATAGAAAAATAGATCCCTCCTTCCCTGGAAAAATTTGGAGGACAAATTTTAGCAAAATAAGGATTACAAAGGAAGGAGATGATGCAAAATAGACAATAGAACCTCGGGGTGGGGGAGGAGATAGTACTGGTAGTCTTGCACATACAACAGTACATTCATAGTTACAATGGCACTGAAAAAAGTGACTTATGACCATTTTTTTCACACTTACGACCATTGCAGCATCCCCAGGGTTACGTGATCAAAATTCAAAAGCTTGGCAACTGACTCATATGATGGTTGCAGTGTCCCAGGATCATGCAAGTCCCCTTCCGACAAGCAAAATCAATGGGGAAGTCACTTAACAACCGTGTGACTAACTTACCAACTGTGGAGATTCACTTCTACAACTGCGGCAAGGAAAGTAATAAAATGGAGCAAAATTCACTTAACCACTGTCTCGCTTAGCAACAGAAATTTGGGGCTCAATCGTGGTCGTAAGTCGAGGACTACCTCAGTGGTGGGTTGCCCCCGGTTCGCACCGGTTCTACAGAACCGGTAGTAAAACCAGAGGGAAGCTCCGCCCACTGACCCTGACGTCATCAAAATGCTTCTGCGCTTGCGCAGAAGAGTGCATGCGCGGCCCTGTTGCAAATTGGTAGTAAAGGTGAGTAGAACCCACCCCTAGACTACCTGTACAGTAAGATCTTCTGGTAGAGCATTAAACTCAATGAGTTTCTTAAGCTTTACAAGAAGTACTTTTCTCAAGACACTTGGCCTGTACATGATCAAGCTTGATTTTCTTCCTTTTCTTTACTTTTTTTGATACTCACCTCCAGACACCACTGAGCATCGTGAATTTTTTTAGGAACATGGGGTTTCCCAACATTTTTTTTACAGACTAGGCTTTTGGCTGCAGGCTCGGCTTTTTAAGGTTGAAATGTATACATGGTATCACAAGACAAGAGACGCAACATAAATCATGTGGGCGTTTTATAAATTGTGTCATGACTTTAGCTACCAGAGGGAAAAAAAAAACATACAAGTTCAAGTCCATTAGCTCTCTTCTCCATGACTAAGAGCATTTAGCTTACAATACATGATCCTTCAAGCCGCATATTTTGTGGCTTACTTGAAAAGCAGAAAGAGAAACTAGACTGGGGATATTTCTAATATTTAGGTTTGATCTAAAAAAGCATAGCATGTTGAAACACGCTCTCTGCTCCATTAGGAACAGGCTGCCCAAATTAAATTCCTTGTGACTCCTTTTTTTTTTTTTTAAAGAAGTACTTATAATATTCAGTTAAATTAAATTTAGAAATTTGACTAATAATATGAAATCATTGGGGGGAAAAATGGGAAAAATACACTCCCCCAAATTGATTTAGTCCCACTGTTTATTTATTAAATTTATATACTGCCTATCTCTCTATCCAGATATTCAATAGATAACATTACTATTTTAAAACCCTAGGTAATAGGAAGACTTATATGTAATAGATATTTATAATTCCTACCCAAAGAAGACCTACTATGCAATAAAAAACTCCAGAGAAAAGAAGAAAACATATTTGCTCCTTTTCTGGAAGGACATTTATATTCACAAGAGAAGGAAGAAGAGTTATTTGTTCCTGCTATAGACTTTTAATTGGAAACTTTTAATTACATCAACAGTAGCAGCAGCTAAACACTTATCCATATTTGCATGTTTCTAGTGCAGGTGGAAAAATACTTAAGAGTCAGTCCCCAAGAGATACTTTGATATACTTGGAAAAATCAAACATAGCCCCGATCGTCCCAAAGGTGCTTTTTTCAGGACTTCCTGAACTGGACTTCCTTGTTTTTTCTTTTGAAGACATTTCACTTCTCATCCAAGAAGCTCAAAGGCTCTACAGACTTTTAACTATACAATTTGGAATGAACACCTTTTGAATGGTGTGGGAGTAGGACTGGATTTCCATAGGAAAATTTGCAGATTACAGGAACCAGGAGCACTACTCAGGTGACCCTGAGGACACAGATAAACCTCCGGTGCTTCAGTGCTTCAAGGACCCTCAAAAAGGATGCAAAATTACCAGCTGTCTGCAAGGAATATAAATCCTTCCATTCCCCACTATCCTGTCAGAGCTTCTTGGATGAGAAGCAAAACATTTTCAAAGAAAAAACAAGGAAGTTCAGTTGCCTCCTGAAAAAAGCACCTTTGGGACAACCATGACCTGGATGACGGAGAATCTCTACCGACTCATAGCCCTGATCCCAAAAGTCATGGCCAGGTGCATAGCGGGAGTACAATACTAGGAAAAACATGCAGCTGTACAAAGAGTCCTTTTGGAATGAAATCCAGAGCACTCAAAGGACCACTGAATAATGGGGGCTGAAGGGAAGAAGTCAGTCTGAGATTGAAAACTCTGCTTGGAGCTAAGCAAATGCACTGCTTTTGCCAATTT